CCGCGTGTGGAATCCTGTTGGTCAGGTTTGCTGCAGTCATCATGAGCTCCCCCCACATGTGTTTTGGGAAGTCTCCATCGCGCAGTAGAGCTCGAGTCACAGCCGCAAGTGTCTGGCCATCCCTTTCTGACACTCCGATTTCTTGGGGCGTGTTGGTCGCGGCGAATTCCAGCTTGATCGCAGACTCCCTACAGTAGTTGCGCATTTCTTCCCCAGTGTTCTCTCCCCCTTTGTCACAGCGTAGAACCTCGATGCGGTAGCCTTCAGATGCTACTTGCATGTTGTAGGCGTGCAGAGCTTGCGTGGTTTCGGTCCTGTCGCGCAGTAGGTACACTTCCCGCATTCTGGTAAAGACGTCGGTCGCTTTGGCGAAATAGGAGTAGGTGGGTCCGTTGTACTTCGCAGGCGGGTCGATTGGTCCCGTGTTGTCGAACTGAACAAGTTGGCCTGGTTTGGTCAGGACACGGCTGGTCTTCTTCGGGACGGGAGCCTTCTTGTGCTTCGTGATTTGGCAGTTGTCGCACGGGGATACAGGTCCGTCATATTTCACACCTGTGGCGGGGTTGCGCCGCAAAATCTCCAAAGCACTTGCATTGATGTGGCCGAGGCGCCGGTACTAGAGGTCGGCGCTCACGTTCATCGCCACTGAGCATGTCGCGTGCGGAGTGTGATCGATCTGTACCGCTTCTGGTTTTCCGAACTTCGGCTTGCGCCCTGGTTCTTGGTTGTTCGGGGGTGTCTTGCTTGTCGACGCTGGATCGCCCTTGAATGTGATGGCGAGGGTGCACATGCCTTGGTCTTGAGTCTCTTGTTTCAGAGGAACGACGACTTCTCCGCCAATGGTGAGGTGTGGGGTCTTGTCTTCCAGGACACATCGGAGGCCCTTCTTGAGAAGGGCCGTTGGTGCGAAGATGTTCCGGCCTAGTNGTTGGCTTTCTCCTGCAACGTACATGATCTTGGGCGTCGGGCGTTCTTCTTCGAGACGTCCATTCGGGATGAGGCGGT